ACCAACTCTAATTACAAATGCTATTTTGATGGTCCTAATGAAAGTAGAGAAAATCTTCTTGAGGAGAGTAACGTTAAATATTGTAATGCTTCAATGTAAAGGTTGTACCATCTTTGTGGTTGGACTTCGTGTCTAATCTCCATAGAAGAGAGCTGTCAATTGCAGCAAGTTGATTTGGGAACATGGTTTGCAATCTTGCGTGCTTTCTGTAAGAACCTCAATTTTTACGTAAAGGAAACTGATACATGAAATGATAATTGGAGAACATAAATCAAAAATACAATACCAAATTGGAAAGAAAAAAAATTACAAAGGGTTTTTTTCCTTACTTTTTTTCAATGTCACGTAACAAGATGATTTCAAAGTAGTAAGATTCTCATAATACAACTGCTGCGGTTGTTTATGTCTTCGAACACCAAAGATCGGAATCTATCATATTCGAACCAAGTTTTATGTGAGTACTCTTAGACAGTAACAAAGGAAGAAGAAGGGGGTGAGGGATTTGTTGTCTGTTGTAGATGGTGAATGGTGATAATGGCTTTGTTCTTATAGTCAAAAGCTCAACGTGATCAATAAAATGGATTAATGAGAACTGATTCGATATGATTTTCAAATGTTACAAAACCAATATTTGAGGAGAATTTTTGTTGACTTAGTCAACAACAAAACTTTTTTTTTTTTTTGTCAAACCAATACCTTTCATTAATTTAAAATGATCCGGTTACATCGGCATAAACTGCCTTTCTTGCGAGAAGATAGATCCACATCTTTTGGAAAGACATGAAGAGTCATGGACTAAACCATGTAGTTTGAAAACTTTCGAGCCTAACGCTAAGGCTCGAACCACTTGTAAGGATTCGGATCTTACCGAACTTATCCTTATACAATCTTCCAAAGCCGGTGACAAAGTCACACTAGCTTCGGTTCGAGTCACCAATGTTTCTTTCTTGGTTTTACACTCCTTTCTAACTTGCCAAAACTTGGCACTAGGGACCGATACTGCTACTAACAATGACACTAAACCKATAGGAACAAAAGGCCTTACACAACTRASCATGCTTATGGATTTAAAATCCCCTAAGGATACACCATSGGCTAAGCCCTCTATACTATCCTCAAAAACTAGGCCCAATAAGCCACCTAAAGAAGAGAAGCTTACYGATTGGAATAGCGGAGGAGACTTCCGGGTAAGACCGCCGGCGAGCTTTTGAGCCACCACCGGAGAKGAGATGCACGGCGGATTTATGCTCGGACTTGGCTTTCTTGTGGGATCTCCGTCTTGGTCGTCGTGCCCGAGTGCGGCTAGGGCTGATGCAGGGGACCACCGCCATCGTGAGTGTGCCGGGTTTACATCCGACTTAGCCCTAGACGAATTGGTTGAGAGAGAGGAGTCGTTGGGGTGGTTGTTCTGTGGCTCGGTGAGGGGAGATGGGGTTCGATGAGCCTTGAAAGGGGYATCTGGTGGACATGGTGGAGGATCTGGTGGTGYAGGTTCACGCGGCTCCGAGTGCCACGGATCTGGTGGTTTTGGGAGAGGAGCGCTAGCGGTTGGCCTCCTCGTCACCARTCCGASAAAAGAGTCGATGGCTTTACACGAGAGGTGGTTCACCGGAGAAGCAGTTCCAGGCGACGGAGAGAGAGAGACATAAGCGAAATGGATCTCCTTCTTCACCCTCGAGMTGTGTCTCCGAACGATTGTCGGTGATGTATCGAGTGTGAGAAGCATGTCTTCTTAGATGAAGAGATCGCCGGAGGAGGAGGAGACTTGGGGAAGCATGGAGATCGGTGGTGGTCGGCGTCTCTGCTAAAAGTCGCCCTTTATTTCGCCTACTTTCCGCTCTTTCGCCTACTACAAATAGTCAACAACAAAACTTTTTAGTAAAATTGGGCCAAAAGAATTCAGTCTTTTGTGTCGCTAACCGATTTGTTAAATCCCAAAGTTTAAGTGCCGATTCGAGTATCTCATTTCTCCAATACACCATAATGTATCTAAGGAGGATTTCACTTCTAGTTTCCAATATAGGACATTTGACACTTGATCAAATTTCCATGCTTTCCAAACTTCCACTTTGGCACTTCGAACATCTATTATTCATTCGAAACAATTCTGAATTTGACAAATGTATACACTACAACACTCATGGCAGCAATTCTATCATGCCAAAATCTGGTCATTTCCGTGAAGACAAATCTACCAGAAAAATGGTCAAAACTTTTACGAGTTCCAACTCTTTTTACTGACAAAGAAACAGTCTATGGTCGTTGAAAGAGGCAGTTATGTCGAGGAAGTAGCGGAATTTGGAATCTCTGAAGAAGCTTTTAGGTTTGGGTGGGGGTAGGAAGCGGATACGTTGAAAGAATAACAAAGGGAGATTCTTTTATCCTGTTGTTCCGATGATGGGAAAATGAGAGAGAAAGTACAAGAAAGTGAAAGAAAATTGTATCTACTGGATAATTAGCTTGTTTGATCTAAATAAGAAATAAAATAATTTGCACAGCAGCCTCAAATCGTTAATTTCATTTTTTCTGATATTTTTTGTATGGTGAAATTTTGGAAGATATCATGTGATGTATCATTCTGATCCATTAATGTTTTTATCTTTTATCCATTAATGTTGATTAAAAAAGAGAGGACAAATCCCAAATACCTTGTTCATTCACTAAACAATACAATCAAAACTTTGTTCATTCACTAATCAAGAATCAAACATAGATGTATATATGAAAAAGAAATCTTATATGTAGAGTTGTGATCTGATATAAACCGACCGTCAATCATTGGTCAACGGCAACGGACAACACGAACGGATGTACGACGTTCGTTGGAGGTGCAGACGGCCATGACAGAGAGACATACGACGAGAATTATGATGAGATGTGTTATTAAACTCGAACCTTCGTCACCACCACCACCACAAGCAGACATACACATTCCACCCATTCTTTTTCGTCTTCTTGATTCTCGATGATGACTCTTAACGAAGATGGGAATGAAGAGGAGAGGAAGTTAGATGAGAAGGATATGTCTTTAATGAGTTTTTGATTACTAATTTGTGTTTGTTTAATGGTTTTTGTTGGACTTGATTCCGCCAACTTCGTGTTTTAATTATGAATATTTTTTCTTATAATATCGATGTTTGATGGTACGGATCCGGAGACTTAAGACTAACAAGACATATTCTCCCCTTAATGTGTAATTAAGTAGTCGACATGTTGTTACGTACGAAAATTACTTGATCAAGTTATGTTTTTATAAAGAATCAATGAAAGATGATTTACGTCTTTATCTACTGTATGTATCCCTTATAAAGATTATTAGCGACGTATTATTATATAGCCTTAGATATTGACAATTTTTGGTTATCAAGAAAAATTATGTTTTCCTAGCCAAATTGACTCAAGTGATTTTGTCAGGTTTTTATGGTTTAATTTGTACGGAAGTTTATATATTATGAGATCAAAGTAGATTTCCAACCGGATGATCTTGTTACACAGCCTTTTTCAAATAACTTGGACGTGATGTGACTGACGTGTGGAGCACATACAATCTCAATATATTTGGGCTTGGGTCTAAATATCAAAAACCCCATTTGACCCAATACTTCAAGTCCTACTAAAAATACCCAACACCAAAGATCCGCAAAGATGTC